CTATTCTGAGAGGATCAAGAACATTTGTTGAATCTGGTTCTTCTCCAGGTGGCTGGACGTGAGCACGGCATTGTTGATAGCCCAGTAAACACTGATGGATTATTCACTTCTTGATGACTGTTCGACTCTGTCCATGTCGATGGAGAGCTGTGATGCTACACGGCACATATATGGCATTACCTCCTGAAGAAAGGAGTATCCCTGGCTCAAACCACTACCTGACATATACCCAGCAAACACAAGCACAGTACAGACCCATTTTGGGAAATGAGCTCAAAGTAAGGATGAGATGAGCGTTGTTAAACCTCTCACTGGCTCCTTCGCCACTGGGGTCTCCTCTGCTATGGGACTGCTCTTCACCAAGTCTTCAAAATCATCCCTGCAGTTATGTCGTACGAGTCCTTTCATTTAGAATATGAAGTGATTCAACACAAATCTACAGGCTGTCCAAAGTCACAGTGAGAAGAACTGTAGTATTGGATGTAAGCCTGGTCATGGAATGAGCAGTGGGCCTTTTGTATAAATAAACGTGCTTGGTGCCTAAATTTTAAAGCAAACCTTGCTCATTTTATCTACCCCCATTATATCCCCACTAGGACCCCTGGTGGTTGTAATGTGTTGGGCTGCTAACTGTAAGGTCAGCAGTTCTAAACCACCATCTGCTCCTCACGACAGGGTTTTCTACTCCTGTCAGCAGTTACAGTCTCAGAAGCTCACAGAGGCCGTTCTAATCTGTCCTGAACAGTCGCTGTGAGTTGGCATTGACTCAACGGCAGTGAGTTGTTTGGTATGGGGTTTTATTGTAGTCCTCCCATCTAGAAATGGAATGACAAAGTTTTGTCCAGACCGTTGACCTTTAGAAACAAAACTCTAGTGTCTCAGGGAACTACACTAACTGCTGTTTTCACTGGACACCTTTCCCAACAAAGCCTGCCTGCACTAAAGGGGGTTTGAGAATGCAACAGTAAACTTATATATACACTATGTGTATAAGTTAACCCCCACACTGAGTCTACTATTTGGCTAGGCAAAGGATTAACTCCCACCATCCTTTCTGAGTCTATAATACGTGTGGAACTTTTTCAACTTAAAAATTATTATGCACTGCATTAAGCCTCTGGTGAATCCCCTCCGACCATAGTCAAGGGATGCGGACTAACCTTGCTATCAGTGTTGTAAAATCAATTACGGCAGACATGATTAAGTTAAAATGTAGTAACTGATCATTGATCACCCTTTTGGCCCACTTTTAATTTGTTCTAGTTTTTAATATTTCCTGCTTTTTCTTAATGGAGGTTTTTTTCTTGATTTTAATACTGTTGGCCTTTTCTTTATTTTTTATTTTCAATGTATTTTCTGGCTTGTTTGTTCATTTTCGTATGTTTTCCAGTATATGAAATCCTGGATAAGCATATCTATAAAGACAGTAACTGGTGTAATGGCTTATTGGGGATACGGGAGGGGAGGTTGGAGGGAAATGAGGAGCTAATAATGAATACAAAAAGGAAGAAAAGGTTCTAGAACAGGTTGTAGTGATGTTTATACAACTCTATTATGGAAGTATATCATATATGAATTATATTGAAATAAAATATTAAAAATTTAAAAATTATACACAAGGTACTGTAATAGGTGATAAATATTATATGAAAGTTTAAAAATGAAAAAGGAAAGCAGAGAAGATGGATGGATGGATTACTTCTAAGTGTTGGCCAGTTCTGAGGCACAGAGATCGAATAGAGGAGACCAGAAAGCACATGAGATGCAATGACCAATATAAGCGCTACCTGGAGCATTGTGGAGGACATAAAAACTGGATATCCACCTTGTTCTCTTATGAAATTTGACTCAGTTGAAGATAAGCCAGTCCACGCATTATTATTCATCTTTGTATCACTGGACTCCAGCAAAAAGATAGGCATATAGTAAGGGCTCTATGAAGGTTTATTAAATGAATGGATGAATGATTACATAGTGAATGTAGTTAAGTCCCAAAATAGTTGTGGTAATATGAGCAGGTTTCCAAAAGTTCATGGGAAAATTCCATTAGATCTTCATTTCATTTTCCCACAAACTTTTGGAAGCAGAAGCCCCCTCACAGTTATCATGGGGATGAGTGATCCAGTGCTTTGTCCAGAGTCATCATTCTTACAGACAGATCTCAAGGCCTAAGAATATGGCCTTTACTCCACATATTGATTAACAGGTTATTTGGCATGTCAATGCGACCGGCGGTGGCTCTAGACTAGAAGGATACAGACCACATGGGGATGTTGACAGAGAGGGTGACACCAAAAGGGTATCTATAAAATCTTTGTGCAGTTTTCAGCAAAAATTGATGTTTTTTTCAGTAAAAGAACTCAGAAGCTAGTCATAACAATGAAAAACATTCTTCGTAAGACCAGCTTACACATGCCAATGCAAGGCTAAACCTCTACGCTAATCCGCTTTTTGATGCTACTGTGCTCAGCTTAGAGCTTTCATTATCACCTGACCGGTCCCGCAGGTCATCAAACAATGTGGATACCTGAAAAAGGGACTGGGAATGAAGAGGGGCAAGAGACGCGAGAAATGGAGGCAAGACAGGAGTCTGATCAAGCCTCGTTTATTGAGCAGAAGGCAGAGGCCTAAATACCCAATGGTGGGCGGGTAACATTACGTCATATGCTAATAAAGTGTAACAGGTAGTATCCAATAATCACGCAGCTACCAAATATGGAAGAAATGGCAGGCATCAGTCCTCAAACAGGTCCGCATGTAAATGAGGTGCACTTGGATGCCTGGCGGAGGTGTCCAATGAGCATGGCGGCTGCCTGCCACCGAGCACCAATCATCACAAAGGCCAAACTCAGGCAGGACAATGGGCCAGGGAACATCCGGGAATGGGAAGCTTAAAGACAGCGGACGGCGCAGGCCATGGGCTGAGGGACGTGTAGACTCCCACAATCACCCAATAACAATGGTGGTTCAAATCACATGGCTCTATCTGCATGAGCTACACACACGTGCTAATGTTTTCACTGTTGATTCTGTTCTTAGAGTTGCTGATTGGGTCCACTTTTCTGGTGCTTTAGCTTTGGTATGGTGGTAATTAGTATTTGTGAATCCATATCACTAATTTTTTGATAGTAAAGTAGTAATTAACGGAAAAAAGGGAGACAAACCTAAAAAGGCTTCCACTAGGTTATGAATAATGTTGTAACTAATAATGCTGTAATTCAACATGGAAAGATTTACCAATTTTTCAGTATTCATTTAATCTAAGAAATATTATATTTAAGCAACTTATGACTATATTTACCTTATGTTCTGTGGTTAGCACTGATAATAAATATCACTAAGGAGGAGTCTATATTGTCTGAGATGGAAAGAGGTCTCTGAGGTTAGGTGGGGAGTGGGGTATGAAAACCAGGAGTTATCACACTGGGTGTTATCAATGACTCCAAGCCTAGTGATGCTACTTGACAGTAATGTGCCACAGAGACTGGGGAACTGGGTTGGGGAGAGTGCTGTTTAACCAAATCACACTAGTTGCCCTTATAGATGTGACTCCGGACAACCCCATCTGCTGCTGAGTAGAACAGTCGTTTGTGTGTGTGTGCATTTATTTATTTAAAGAACAAGAAGAGCTAAAATTTTGAGATGATAAGCTGGTGTTAGATGTTTGAAGTCTGAGGAGGTGATAAGAAATGCACATGAAAATCTTCAGCAAAAGTTAACCTTCAGCAGAGAGAGTGGGTCCAAGTTCAGGTAGACATTGGAAAAGTGTACCTATGGGGGAACACAGAGAGGTATACCAATCCCTGGAGCTCTTTGGGTTTACCGAAAAGCAAATGAGACTTGGGGATGATGACAGCTAACATCTTCTTGGGCCAGCCAGGCCTGTGCTAATTTACCTGTAGTACCTCTTCAGTTCAAGGAGCCCTGGTGGCAAAGTGGTGGCACGTAAGGTCTTCAGTTTGAAACTACTAACTGCCCAGCAGAAGAAACACAGGGCTGTCTCCTTCCGTAAACTCCTGGGGCAGTTCCCACAGGATGACGATGAATTGTATCAACTCCATGGTAGTGAGTTTGGTTTTTGTGTTGGTACCTCTGTAGCTCAGGGTCTAGGGTGCTGTCAAGGAAGTTTTGGACCACTAGGCACAAGATTAGTGGTTCAAACCTGTCAATTGCTTCTAGGAGAAAGATGGGGCGATCCTCCTCTGGTAAAGATTTACAGCCCCAGAAACTCTATTATGGGGTCTTGGAATGAACTCGGTGGCAGGGGGTTGGTTTTGGGTCGTGGTTCTTCTCCCCCGGCCACCATCCCATCCCCAACCTCTCTCCCTTCTCCCGCCTCCTTCTCGACCTGTGGCGTGGCGCAGTGGTTAAATGCTCAGGTGGTTGAATACTTAGCTTTACTGTTAAGTAAAGGATTGATGGCGAGCCCACCAGTTGCTCTGCCGCAGAAAGACGAGGCAGCCTGCTGCTTCTGTTACAAGATTCCCTCTCGGAAATCCCGTGAGGCAGGCAGTTCGACCCACCCCTGGATGACAAGATAATTTAGTGAAACCTCATCTCCGTGATTTCTCCCTCTCAAAAAAATACATGTATACGTATTCAGGTCTTATATTCATCTAAAAAACATGGAGCCTCCTCTTTTGGTCAGGTATCAGCCCCCAGGCCACGAGATAAGGCAGGGCCCTAGACAGAGGGGACGAGCCTCTCCAGCGTGCGCCTCGCCCCAGCTAACTGCCCCTCGTCCGCTAGGGGGCGAGTCGGCGCACGTCGTGCGCGCCCACCCTCCGGGGACTGCGGACGCGGCGTCCTGGCCCCGCCCCGCCCGGCCCGGCCAGGCTCGGCCGGGCTCGGCTGGGCTCGGCTCGACTCGGGTGGGCTCGGCGCGCGCCCTGCGCAAGGGTGCTGGGCGAGAGATTAGACGGCGGGAGGGGTGGGGATGGGACGCGAGGGTCACGTCAAAGCCGCGTAGACAAAGGGCGGGCGGGAGCGCGCACGTCCTTACGCACGCCTCGGCCGGCCGCGGCGGACTAGGGCGGGAGGAACAGTCAACGGAGGGACCAGGAGCCCCGCAACCTCTCGGTCGGTGAGTACCACTGGCCCGGCCGCGTCTTAAGTGTCGCTGGCGTCAGGGGAACTGAGACAAACCTCGGGCTCGGGGTCGGGCGCTCAACCAGGGGCCTGCGTTCGGGGGACACCGTCTCTGCGCCCGCCGCCCCAGCGTCAGGAGGCACCATTGCCGTTTCCTGGGGTTTCCCGGACCGACGTGGAACGGCCCGCCCCCTCCCCCCCCGCCCCGCGGTGGAACCGTCCGTCCCCGTCCCCGCCGGGGGGCCCGCGGCGCCTGCGCTCCCTTCCCGCAGCCCCCGGTGCCCGGCCCGCGGCGCGCTCGCGTCCCCCCGGCCGGCCCGGAGGCGCTGGCTCCCCGCCATTTCCTTCTCCATCGGGGTCCCCTCTTCGAGATGGACTCGTCCCGGCCCCCGGTCCACCTCCCCCACCCTCTCCCGAATGCAAGGTGGCCTGCAGCCCTCTCCGTTCCAAAGTCGTGGAATTTCAATCCAGCTCCTTTCAGCCTATAAGTTCTTTTTCTTTTTTTTTTTTGGCGGTTCGTTTTTTTCCTCCCTGGTTCTCCATGTGAATATTTCCTTTCGTGTTTTGTAGCCCTTGAAATCCCTGGCCTTCCTATGTTTACTTCACGGCTCCCACCAAAGCATCCTATTGCTTCGGGGTTTTAGTAGTTTGGCTCCTCACTTTCCATTTCACAGAGGGCGTGAAGTTTTGCAGTTTGAAATTTAGGATGAAGCACAACAGCTTTATGGAAATAAGTTGCTGGCTTTCCTGGATATCGGTGCCTCGCACTGCTGATGGCCTCTGCGATAATGGATCTTCCCATTGATAACGTCCTGAAATCAACTAGAGAGTTTTCGTTCTGATTCATTTTCCTTCATTCTAGCCGAGCTTTGAGTGTGTCTGCTCAGTTTCCTGTCGTGTAGATTCTATCTTCCACCCAAGGGACATGGTGTGAGAAGCAATTATCCTTATGCCAAAGACTGTAGAAAAGAGTCTTGTAATAATGTCAGGCAAGGATTATTTTCTCTCTGGCAGTGATGAATTAAAAAAAAAAAAAGACGGTATAAACCCAAACCAACCTCACTGCTATCAACTTGGTGCCGACTCATAGTGACCCTGTAGGACAGGGTGGAACTGTGCTTGTGGGTTTCCCAGACACTGACCGCACAGGAATGGAACGCCTCGTCTTCTCTAAGGAGCAGCTGGTAGTTTTGAACTACTTACCTTAACACTTAGCAGCCCGCTCGTAACCACTGAGCCACCAGGGCACCTTAAACATAGTTTAGAGCATTTTGAATACACCAAAGTGGAATAGTTTGCTGGCAAGCGCTTTTCATCCAGCCTCATCATCACTTTCAGCTGGTCTTAACCCATCCATATCCCTCCCCATTCCCTCTCCGCCCCTTAAAGCCCCCCATGTTTCTCAGAGGGAAATACTAGATGCTTTCGTTGAAAGTGAACTTTCATTACTCAAAAGCAGCTTTAGATTGGAATTAAAATTCTTACTAATGTATAAAATCATAATGTATTTTTTTTCTGGGACACAGTTTACTGCTACAGATTTTTCAAGCGAGAAGCACATAATAGATATGGCGAAGGACTGGAAAAAAATGTATCAAAGATAATCAAGCTGCTGGAAGACAGGTTAAAACAAAAAGTTTTTCACATCTGGACAAGAACTTCCAGATCACCTCATCCAGCATTCCTTTTTGATGAGCCCTCAAGGTCCAAAGAGGTTCAGTGACTTGTCCAGATGCCACAGGTAAAAAGAGGCAGGACTCAAGTCAGAAGTGACAGCTCTCCCACTCCTTAGTCTTTCTGCCCCTGCCCCTTACTCTCTGCTGCCTTTAGGTTGGTTCCTTTAAAAAAGAGTAATGTGTGAAGGGCTATGACTGAAAACTTCGTAATTAAAATTATGAGCATTTGGATGGGTACACATGAACTTTCCACCAAGTTGTAGATTACTCAAACTAGGGGATATGCCTTAAATTTATTTCTGAAAATAGATTTAGGACAAATGAGAAGTAGAAGATATGGGCACTTCTGACATTAGGATACCACACTGAGAATAAGAATGTAATTTTATTTTAAAAAAATGTTAGGGTCCAGATATATCAATCCACAATTCAGTTACATCATGCATAATTGTACGATTGCTACCACAATCAGTTTCCAAACATATTCTTTCATCTTGAACTCCTTGATAGCAGCTCCCCATTATTTCTGCCTTCCCCACTCTACTCCCCAGGAGCCCTTATTGTTATTATTATATTTTATTTTTATTAATTGTTTTTGCTGTATCTTACCCCATCCAATAAATCCATTCACTTACAATTCTATTATTTGCTCCCCTCGAGTAGGGTTATACAATCATCCTTGTTATCAGCTCCCCCTCAACAAACCCCCTTCCCCTCAGGGAATCATTACTTGCGTTATTGTTTCTGAAGTGTTTATCTATCTTTGTTTTCATGCACCAAACAACCTTAATTATACAAATGAACCTACACAGGTCTAACAAGATTAATGAGGTAAAACAAAAACCATAATAGTAAGGGGAGGAAATATTAAAGAACTAGAGCAGCCGTTCTCAACCTGTGGGTCTCGACCCCTTTGGTGGTCGAACAACTCTTTCACAGGGGTTGCCGGATTCATAACAGTAGCAAAATTACAGTTATAAAGTAGCAACGAAAATAATTTTATGGTTGGGAGGTCATCACAACATGAGGAACTGTATGAAAGGGTCGGGCATTAGGAAGGTTAAGAACTACTGAACTAGAGGATACTTAAGGGTTTCATCAGTGCTATACTGTACCCTGGATTTATCATCCCTTTTGTGTGACCCTTCTGTGAGGAACTGCCCGATTGTCAGAATGTGATTTTAACACACTTGATAACCTTCACATTTACTTAATAAAAGCAAGTAAGGGAAGCTAGAATGAGTGGAAGTTCACAGGAGTTAGCAGAGAGAACAGTAGCACCCAGCATTAAGACATTCTCCTTGTCATTACCAGATGAGAATCCTAGACCAGATGAATTATGGGATAGCTCCTCTAAATATCCTGATATGTATTCTTTAGGGTTTTGTCTTGCTGTTATCTCAAGAAAGAATAATTCAATACCTGTACTTGTGTCTCAGTTTTAGTCCTTTAAAATGAGGATAATTCTAAATATTGTTGTGAATTTTGTATGAAAATTACAATGATTTATGATGATGATGTGACATGCTTGCTTATACGTTTTGCTTTCAGGATGTTTGTGATGTCATCATGCACATCCAGTTTTGGGGACATACCCATCTCCATCCAGTTTGTTCTGACTCATAGTGACCCTCCAGGACAGAGTAGAACTGCTTCTTGGGGTTCCCAAGACTTTCCGTTTTTAAAGGAGCAGAAACGTATTTCTTCTTTGGAGCACCTGGTGCCAAAAGGAGCCTGGTGGTGCAGGGGTTAAATACTTGACTGCGAACCAAAAGGTCAGTGGTTCAAACCCACCAGGTTCTCGTCTAGAAAAAGTAGGGTGGTTTGATTCTGTAGACTTAAAACCTTTGAAATCCTATGGGACAGTTCTTGGTCTTATATCGTTGCTATGAGCCAGAATTGACTTGATGACAGTGGGTTTATTTTGTTGTTTTTAAGTTATAGGAGATGTGGGGGTAAGGTGTGTGTGTGTGTGTGTGTGTGTGTGTGTGTGTGTGTGTGTGTGTCTGGCTTATTACGATTTTAGTCAACTTGTGGACTGGTTGCTGCAAAAGGTTACCTTTTAAGACATCTCTTGCTCTCTGGAGCTAGAAGCTGGGGATTATTTGGTCCTAGTGAAACTTTAACTGGACTGCAGAGTTGTTTCTTCAAGTAGAAAGGAATCCCGTCATGGAATGTCACATTGTTCTGTATCATGATGCTCACGGGGAGGACTTGGCCAAGTGCCATTCATTCCATGTATCACCAAGCTACACAGTAATGTTTATGCAGTATGACTAACGCTGATTAAGGGGATGGAGTTTTAAAGTTAGAAGGAATATTTTTAAGTGCTTGGGGTTTTTCCTAACTCCTTTAACTGGCTCTTTCTCTTTCAAAATATATAAAATACATACACCTGCCCAGTTACCAAGCTTGCCTCCTTTCTTAGAACACTTTTATTTTTCCTTGTATGACAGTTGTTTTTATGTTTGGACGGCACCTCCTGTTATAAGCTCAAGGTCGGTCAATACTTGAGCTAGTACAGTGCTCCTGTATTGGGTATAATAAGGCTTGGTACATTTTTGTGGATTTTTTTAAGTAAAACATTTTTCACTGGTGAGGAAACAATCTAGGGTAGCTGAATGACTTCTCCAAGGTCGCAAAGACCACATACTAACAGCACTGTGCCTGGAACCTAAGAAGATTCCTCTGTTTCACTTCTCAGCCCTTTCAATCACACTATTGTCTTCATTCTTCAGAGCAATAGCGAGGGTAAAAGTATATATTTATTTACTCACACACATATGCATGCCTGTGTATTTTTTCCGTTTCTTAACTTTTCTGTAAAAGATTTAGATTCATACTGTCTTGTTTAATGCAGGCCACATAAGTAATTTTACATTTTATGGTGTTAGTTGGAGGTGCAAACAGTTTATGTGCACCTGATGTGGATTATTGCTACTCTATACTACATAGAGTCACAATGAATCAGAGTTGGCAGCTAGTTATAACAGTAGCCAGTTTAAAAAAGGAAAAAAGAAATAGGTGAATAGACTTTTAATAATATAATTTCATCCAATTTATCCAGATTGTCACTTCAATATGCAGCCAAATAAGAAATTATGAATGAGATATTTTACATTCATTTTTTTCGCACTACCATTGAAAAAAATTAGTGTGCATTTTACATTTACCCACCAATTCACTGCTGTCAAGTCAGTTCTGACTGAGACAGCAACCCACTAGAGCAGAGTAGAACTTCCCCAGAGCTTTTCCAAAGCTGTGAATCTTTATGTAAGCCTACTTCATGTCACCTCTCCCAAAGAGCAGGTGGTGAGTT